TTTTTTTTTTGTCTTTGTCGTTTGCTTTTAAATCACTGATGCCATACGAACCAAAAGAGCCACCACAACAAGGGAAGGAAGGTTAGTTCACTCCCGCTGCAGTATGGGAACTGCATTCAGCGCGGAGGTTAGCGACACACGCGAGCTGGCGAGTGTCTTTATGGACGCATTTGGCCGAGAATATGATAAGCTCTACATATGGTTCATGGTGCAGCACCTGCGGCAGGTGATGCAGCGGGAGGCGGAATCGAGTGGCGCAAAGGCGGCGGTGTGGCGGCTCTACCACGCGCCGTCGGTTCCAAGACAGATCAACGACCGTGACTTCGTGATGGCCGCGAAGCTGAGCAAGCACCTGAAGCGCTGGAAACCCCGCTTCTTTGTTCTCCGTGGTGACTTCCTGCTCAACTACTACGAATCACGTGCCGACTACACGGAGAAGAAGCATCCGTTGGGAACNCCGCTTCTTTGTTCTCCGTGGTGACTTCCTGCTCAACTACTACGAATCACGTGCCGACTACACGGAGAAGAAGCATCCGTTGGGAACTATTAACTTGGGAAGCGTTGTGGTGAACCGCGATGCGACGGAGGCGGAAGAGGCGCGACTCGACCGGCTTGCCGCCGCGTGCTCAGTGCCGCGCACAGACGTACCGTCGCCGGCAAAGTACCCGCCGATGACAGTGGAGTTGTACCACAGGCGTCACAGCCCTGTGCATCTGCAGTTCCCCGTGAAGGACCGGTATGATATTTGGTGCACCATTTTTGAGCGGGCCCACTGGTTGACGGCAAGAGTGTTGACGAGTGATTGTGTCCATGAACGCGCATTTGTGGAGGCAATTCGTAGGGCCCGTGTGATGTGCGGGTTGTCGGATTCTTTGGAGTTTAGTGGTGTAGAAACGGCCGTACTAGAAGATGCCATTACGGAGCTTCTGGACGCTAGTGTTGTGGACAAGCTGCTTCTGAGTCTTTCCGGCAGCTCGTGGAAAGATCGCATGTCACAGCTGCGTCTTTTTCATGAAAAATCTGGGGGGTTGCTGAAGAATTTTGTGTGGGGAAAGTGGCATGCCATTCAGGGAAGGACGTGCAGTCGCCGTGTGTTGATTGAGGCGAAGGTGCGTGACGGCATGGACGACATCAACGCTTTTGAGATGCCGCTCCGCCAGGAGGTGCACAAATACACAAACAATGAGACGCAGGCATTTCTCGCGGCACAGGTGGAGAAACCGCTGAAGGAGCTCGCGGCTGCAGTGGTGCCCCAGCTGCGCGACGTGTGTGCGACGGTACCGCGGCTCTACGAGGCGTGCGTGCTGCAGGGCAAGGTGCACTACGAGCCGCGTGACGATCACATGTACTTGGCGTCCCAGTACAACAGCATCGGCGAGTGCTACGAGGCGGAGAGGGAGCTGTGGCGCCTGCAGGAACCCATCGCCGCCGCGAAGGCGCACTTCAAAGGCCGTGTGTTTGAGTGGCTAGTGGTGCAGAACACCGCCGTGCACCTGCTGCGCCGCGTCGTGGTGAATGGCGTCTTCACGTTTGAGACGGTGTTTGAGCGCAACAAGCTGCAGCGCCCCTGGGACGACGCACTACGCGAGGTGCGCAGCCTCGTGGAGGCGGACAGCCGCACCATGACACCACGCATCCTCGCAGCGCTCTTGTACGAGACGGCGGTGCACTTCTTCCGCGATGAGTACGTGCAGCCGTCGCTGACACGGCTCAAGGCGTCGATGATTACGCCGCTCGAGGGCCGCGTGACGGAGGAGCTGCGCCCGCTCGTGCCCAGCGTGCAGGAAATTGTCGCGGACGTCATGCTGGACGATATGCGCGAGCTGTGCCGCAGCATCGCCGACTGCGCCGTGGCCGCTGCGTGACATCCGCGCCTTCTCCCCCTCCCCCAAGAGTGGCCGCTGTGAGAGCGCCAGGCAACGATATCGCAATGAGCTGTACGTTTTTTTTTTTTTCTCCCTCGCTTTTCAGGTTTTGCGTGCCCCTCCCTCCCAACCCCTAACTCTAAGGAAGGGAGAGCCGCGGCTGGATTGGTCTGTGCACACTGTATTTACGCTGACCGTTTCTACGTTTCTCGCGTTGTTGTCATTATTGTTATTATTATTGTCGCTATTATTAACTCGTGGTGTCTTTCTTGATCGCTCTTTATCTGTCTATCTATCTATCTATCTATCTATATATATATATATATATATATATATATAGATATATAAGGCTACAGAAACACTGCTTGCATGAGGGCACAGACCTTTATCTCCACTATTCCTCTATCGTTCGTACTTACTTGTTTTGG